TTGTCACCGTTGTCACTGTTGTCACTGTTGTCACCGTTGTCACCGTTGTTACTGATGTCACTGTTGTCACTATTTTCACTGTTGTCATCGCTGTCACTGTTGTCACTGTTGTCACTTTTGGCACTGTTGTCACTGTTGTCACCGTTGTCACTTTTGTCACCGTTGTCACTGTTTTCACTGTTGCCATTGTTGTCATTGTTGTCAAAGTTTTTACAGTTGTCACTGTTGTCACTGTTGTCACTTTTGTTACCGTTCTCATCGTTGTCACCGTTGTCACTGTTGTCACTGTCGTCACCATTCCCACTATTGTCACCATTCTAGCCGTTATCACTGTTGTCACTGGTGTCACTTTTGTCACCGTTGTCACCGTGGTCACCGTTGTCGCTCTCTTCACTGTTTTCACTGTTGTCACTGTTGTCACCGTTGTCACCAGTTTTACCGTTGTGACTGTTGTCACCGTTGTCACCGTTGTCAGCGTTGTCACTGATGTCACCGTTATCAATGTTGTCACTGTTGTCACTTTTGTCACCGTTGTCACTGTTGTTACTGCTGTCAGTGTTTTCAATGTTGTCACTGTTATCAGCTTTGTCACCATTGTCACTGTTTTAACGGTTGTCACTGTGGTTAGTGTTGTTACCGTTGTCACTGTTGTCACCATTGTCACTGTTGTCACTGTTGTCACCGTTGTCTCTGTTGTCAAAGTTGTTGCTGTTTTCGCTGTTGTCACCATTGTCACTGTTGCACTGTTGTCATTGTTCTCACTAATATGGCTGTTGTCACTGTTCACAGTGTACTCGTTGTTGTCATTTTTTTTACAATTGTAACTGTTATCACTTTTGTCGCTTTTGTCGTGTCTGTGATAGTTGTCAGGGTTGTCAGTGTTGTCGCTGTTGTCGTGATTGTCACTGTTTTCAGCCTTGTCACTGTTGTCACTGTTGTCGCTGTTGTCGACTATGTCATTTTGGTCAGGGTTGTCACTGTTGTTGCTGTTGTCGTTGTTGTCATTGTTGTCACTGTTGTTAATGTTGTTGCTGTTGTCACTGTTTTAACTGTTTTCACTGTTGTCCCTGTTGTCGTTTTTTTAATTGTTGTCACTGTTGTCAATACAATTAGTGACTACAGTGACAAAAGCGACAGCAGCGACAACAAGGACAACAGCGAGAACAGTGACAAGCCTGACAACCTTGACAAACGCTACAAAAGCGACAACGGTGAGAACAGTTACGACAATGACAACAACGACGACAGCAACAACCGTGACAACAATGACAAACACGACAACAGCGACAACAGTGATAACCCTGACAACAGTAACAACAGCGACAACGGCAATATCAATGACAACAGTCAAAACAATGACAAATGCGACAACAGCGAAAACAGTAACAAAAGCAACAACAGCGACAACATTGACAACCGTGGCAATATTGACAACAATGACAACAGTGAGAAGTGACAACAATGACAACAGTGACTATATCGACAACAGTGACAACAATGACAAATGCGACAAAAGCAAAACAGTGACAACAGTGACAACCCTGACCAAAATGACAAACACGACAACAGTGACAACTGCGATAACAGTGACAACAACGACAACAGTGGCAACAATGACAACAACGACAACGGTGACACCAGTGACAAACCTGACCACAATGACAAACACGACAACAGCGACAACCGTGACAACAGTGACAACAATGACAGCAACGACAACAGTGACAACCGTGATAACAATGACAAACACGAGAACAGCGACAACAGTGACAACCCTAACAACAATAACAAACACAACAACAGCGACAACAATGACAACAACGACAACGGTCACAACCCTGACATTTATAGCAAACACGACAAAAGCTACAACAGTGACAAAAGCGACAACCGCAACAGTGCAGCAGCAACAACATTGACAAGAGTCACAACAATGAGAAAAATGACAACAGTGACAACAGCGACAACCGTGACAACAATGACAAACACGACAACAGCGACAAAAGTGACAACGCTGACAACAAAAACAGACACGACAACAGCGACAACAGTGATAACAGTGACCACCCTGACAAAATAACAAACACGACAACAGTGATAACAGTGACAACAATGACAACAACGACAGCGGTGACAACCCTGACCACAATGAAAAAAAGACAACAGCGACAAGAGTGACAACAGTTAAAACAGCAACAACAGCGACAACATTGACAACAGTGACGACAATGACAACAACGACAACAGTGACAACAGTGACATCCCTTACTACAATGACAAACATGATAACAGCGACAACAGTGACAACAAGGACAACAAAGACAACAGTGCCAGCCTGACAACAATGACAAAGACGACAACAGCGACAACAGTTACAACAATAACAATGACAAACACAACAACAGCGACGACAGTAGCAACAGCGTCAACAATGACAACAAGAACAACAGCAACAACAGTGACAACCCTGACAACAATGACAAACACGAAAACAGCGACTTTTCACTGTTGTCAATTTTGTCACTGTTGTCGCTGTTGTAACTGTTGTCACTGTTGTTACTGTTGTTGCTGTTGTCGCTGTTGTCACTGTTGGGACTGGTCAATGACAAACACGACAACAGCGACAACAGCGTCAACAGTGACAACAATGACAACACGGACAATAGCGACAACAGTGACAACCCTGGCAAGAATGACAAACACGACAACAGCGACAACAGTGACAACAATAACAACGGCGAGAAAATTGACTACAGTGACAACAATGACAAGTCCGACAACAGTGACAAAAGCAACAACTGTGCCAATAGCGACAACAGCCACAACATTGACAAAAATGACAACAACGACAACACTGACAACAGTGACAATAACAACAACGACAATAGTTTCAACCCTGACGACAATAACAAACACAAAAACAGCGACATTAGTGACAACAGTGACAAAAGCGACATTAGCGACAACAACGACAACAAGGACAACAGCGACAACAGTGACAACCCTGACAACAATGACAAACGCGACAACAGCGACAACGGTGAGAACCGTTACGACAATGACAACAACGACGACAGCAACAACCGTGACAACAATGACAAACACGAAAACAGCGACAAAAGTGACAACCCTGACAACAATAACAAACACAACAACAGCGACAACAGTGATAACCCTGACAACAGTAACAACAGCGACAACGGCAATAACAATGACAACAGCGAAAACAATGACAAATGCGACAACAGCGAAAACAGTAACAAAAGCAACAACAGCGACAACATTGACAACCGTGGCAATATTGACAACAATGACAACAGTGACAAGTGACAACAATGACAACAGTGACTATATCGACAACAGTGACAACAGCGATAACAGTGAGAACAATGACAAATGCGACAAAAGCAAAACAGTGAAAACAGTGACAACCCTGACCAAAATGACAAACACGACAACATTGACAACAGCGATAACAGTGACAACAACGACAACAGTGACAACAATGACAACAACGACAACGGTGACACCAGTGACAAACCTGACCACAATGACAAACACGACAACAGCGGCAACCGTGACAACAGTGACAACAATGACAACAACGAAAACAGTGACAACCGTGATAACAATTAGAAACACGACAACAGTGACAACCCTGACAACAATAACAAAAACAACAACAGCGACAACAGTGATAACAGTGACCACAATGACAACAACGACAACGGTGACAACCCTGACATTTATAACAAACACGACAAAAGCTACAACAGTGACAAAAGCGACAACCGCAACAGTGAGAACAGCAAGAACATTGACAACAGTCACAACAATGAGAAAAATAGGGAGTTTAAGATACGGAGACTACGGACTACGAACTACGGCTGGACGAGCGTTGTCCTTTGTTTGTAGCACTGGGTTGAGTCGTGCAAATATAGAACGTTAAGATTGCACTACAGACAGTAGACTACGAGAGAAGAGGCGGAGAGGGAAACAACACGCAAAGATTTTCTTGTTTTCATCACAGTTCACAAAAATGCAAGTCAGTTTTGCATGTGATCTTATCTTTAGAACAATGAACAAATTCTTCCATACTTGAAGGAAGCAATTACGTCGGGTGAAATTGGTAAACAAAGTTTTGGTTACACAGGCTTTATTTTTTCGCCCACGAATACTTATGTCAAATATTAAAGAAATAGACAGAGATAGTAATAGCTCATTTATTAGATTTAGAAGATGGACTTCTCCGACTACTGATGTGATGTAGTTTGAAGTATTGAAACGCCGAGTTTCGATTGTCTCGAAGATGTTTACATCATTTTCATTAAGCAAATGGCGCGATACAAAAACTCGCATAAATAAATGTTACACAAGTAGAAAGACACAGTAATCAGTTCGAACAAACATTGAAACTTTTCAAGTGAGAAGAGAAAGTACATTACCTGCATGATTTCTCTTCTCCTAGGCCGTCAATCTGAATTCTATGAGCAATGTAGTCACGACAGTGGATTAAAAGCGTAAATCTGAGCAGAGATTAGACACAACTTACATATTTCGCTTCCCTCTCACTTAAAGCAGGTGAATTGAAAACTTTTTTACGAAAAGACGAGATTCTTGAATTACCGAGACGGCAAAATACAAGCAAAATGTTCTCCGTAGTCCCGACTACGCGAAACAGCTCAACAACTCACCGTAGCCGCAGGACTACGCGGGAAAAATGAACAGTTACGTGGTTTTGATCATGCTCAGTAGCATATTTATCCGTAGCCGTAGTCCGTAGTCGCCGTATCTTAAACTCCCTAATGACAACAGTGACAACAGCGACAACCGTGACAACAATGACAAACACGACAACAGCGACAAAAGTGACAACGCTGACAACAAAAACAGACACGACAACAGCGACAACAGTGATAACAGTGACAACCCTGCCAACAATAACAAACACGACAACAGCGACAACAGTGACAACAGTGACAACAATGACAACAACGACAGCGGTGACAACCCTTACCACAATGACAAACACGACAACAGCGACAAGAGTGACAACAGTTAAAACAGCAACAACAACGACAACATTGACAACAGTGACAACAATGACAACAACGACAATAGTGACAACAGTGACATCCCTTACCACAATGACAAACATGATAACAGCGACAACAGTGACAAAAGCGACAACAGTGACAACAAGGACAACAATGACAAACACGAAAACAGCGACAAAAGTGACAACAGTTAAAACAGTGACAACAGCGACAACATTGACAACAGTGACAACAATGACAACAACGACAACAGCGACAACAGTGACAACCCTGACCACAATGACAAACACGACAACAGCGACAACAGTGACAACAGCAACAACATTGACAACAGTGACAACAGCGACAGCGGCAATAACAATGACAACAGTGAAAATAATGACAAATGCGACAGCAGCGACAACATTGACAGATACGACAACAGCGAAAACAGTGAAAAAATCAACAACAGCAACAAGAGCGACAACATTGACAAGCGGTACAACATTGACAACAACGACATCAGCGACAAAAGTGACAACAATGACAACAGTGACAATATTGACAACAGTGACAACAGCGATAACAGGGAGAACAATGACAAATGCGACAAAAGCACAACAGTGACAACAGTGAGAACAGCGACAACAGCGATTAGATTGACAACAATGACAACAACGACAACAGTGACAACCCTGACAACAATAACAAACACGACAACAGCGAAAACAGCGAAAACAGCGACAACATTGACAACAACGATAACATTGACAACAACGACAACAGCGACAACAGTGACAACCCTGACCAGAACGTGAAACGACAACAGCGAAAACAGTGACAACAGCAACAACATTCACAACAGTGACAACAATGCCAACAGTAACAACAGCGACAACGGTAATAACAATGAGAACAGTGAAAACAATGACAAATGCGAAAACAGCGAAAACAGTAACAAAAGCAACAACAGCGACAAGAGCGACAACATTGACAGCAACGAAAACAGTGACAAGTGACAACAATGACAACAGTGACAATATCGACAACAGTGACAGCAACGATAACAGTGAGAGCAATGACAAATGCGTCAAAAGCACAACAGTGACAACAGAGAAAACAGCGACTACATTGACAACAATGACAACAACGACAGTAGTGATAACACTGACAACAATAATAAAACATGACACCAGCGACAACAGTGAAAACAGTGACAACCCTGAAAAAAAATGACTAACAGACAACAACGACAACAGTGACAACAGTTAAAAGAGCGACAACATGGACAACAGTGACAACAATGACAACAACGACAACAGCGACAACAGTGACAACCCTGACCAAAATGACAAACACGACAACAGTGACAACGGTGACAACAGCGAGAATATCGACAATAGCGTCAACCGTGACAACAACGACAACAGTGACAACAGCGACAACGGCAATAACAATGACAACAGTGAAAACATTGACAAATTCGACAACAGCGGCAACATTGACAACAATGACAAATATGACAAGAGCGAAAACAGTGACAAAAGCAAGAACAGTAACAAGAGCGACGACATTGACAACCGTGACAACATTGACAACAACAACAACAGCGACAAAAGTGACAACAGTGACAAAAATGACAGCAGCGACAACAATGACAACAGCGACAACAATGACAACAAGGGCAACAGCGACAACAGTGACAACCTTGACAACAATGACAACACGAGAACAGCGACAACAGTGACAACAGTTACAACAGCGACAACAGCGACAACATTGACAACAGTGACAACAATGACGACAACGACAACAGCGACAACAGTGACAACAGCGACAACAATGACAACAAGGACAACAGCGACAACAGTGACAGTCCTTACAACAATGACAAACACGACAACAGCAACAACAGTGACAACAACGACAACAACGACAACAACGACAACAGCGACAATAGTGACAACCCTGACCACAAGGACGAGAGTCAACACCTTGTTGCAGGTTACTAGGGCAACATGGGACATTCCACACACCATAGGCTAGATCGTTTACAAATCGTAACCGTAGGAAGTCTTCGAGACCAATGTACGACGCAGTTTCACCTGGAGGAGCACGAACAAGATATTATCTTGCGAAGTAACCACAAGAATGCTTTGAGGTCGAATATTTCGGGGACACACGTATGGAGGCCCACCATACCTTGATATGCGTGCTCCTGAATGGCATGCAGGTGAAAACCTCGCTGGTTATAAGTAGTCCTTCAGTAAGTAGCAGGAGAGGATACTCTAGTTAAGGCATTGTTGACACTAAAACGATTTGATTTGTCTTCCTGTTAATTTTGCCTTGTTGGAGGGTTTTCTTCTTAGGAAGCCCTGCATTGCAAAACGCAGGCACAGATCGTCTACAAATGGTAGGCGTACGACGTTCACGACGACAGTTCGTGGCTGTTGGATTCTTCGTCTTCCAGACGTCGTCAGCATTTTTCTACCTCCAACAGCTCTTAAAGTTATTACTGGGACCAAATTTATGCAGCACATTGTTTCTTCAACGTATTTCTGAATCTTGTAACAAAATGTTGGAAATGTGAATAAAATTTTTTTATTATTTTGTTTCATATTGTATCGTGAGTCCAGTGCTACATGAAGGGAAGAGACCGGCCGAAGAAAGAAGAACAAAGAACTTCGATAGCCTTAGAAAGATAGTCCAGTAGTCCAGTTACCTAAGAAGACGAGTTAATTTCCTTTGCAGCCATGAATGGAGAAGAAGAATCACGTCGGACCAAACTTAACAATGACGATAACGATGATGATGATCGTTTACACGAAGACGTCATTTTGCTTCTATGAAAACAGAAGCAGACGACATTGTAATGTACACGACTTCTCGATAAGGAAGGCAAGGTAAAGCCAGAGGAGACAGCATAGAGTAATTACTTTACAGAGCTGTCTTGACTAACGTTGAGATTTCCACAATTAAGGCCCTCTATTTTCCTCCTTCTTCCTTTTGGAAACGAATTTGGAAAAGTTTTAAACAACTCTAACAATTTTTTCTTAAAATTAAGCAATTTGACAAGGCAAATTTGAAACATTTTCCGTGCAGACATTTAATTTTATCTTATCTAGGATCCCATGTTCGCCAGTTGTTGTTGTTGCATAGCACAATGTTAGTTGAGACAGCTACTAATATTTGATACTTCTAATTTTAATTGGCCGGCCGGACTTCATCTTTGGAGCAACTCATCTACAACAACAACAACAACGTCGTGGTTGTTGGTCCTAGTATCCTTGGTACTTTGTTGGAGGAACATGACGACAGTGTACGGCAGCCCATATAAGGTAGGGCTAATTTATGTTGGTACAATGTTTGCGCAAAGCAGCTGCAGACTACTTGTGTCTGAAGTCGCGTTCGGCAAATTCAGTTACACCGTTATTCTTGTAAGAAGGTTCGCAGCTAGTGCAAACCTTGCTCCACATCAATCAGCCCAAGTAATAATGGAACAAGGTTTGTGGATTTTTTTCTATCTTAAGCGACTAGATTTTCGGGTCAGTGCATTCCGCTTTTTTTTCCGGTTTTCGATTCGATTTGCGATCTGTTTCCGGATTCGGCTTCGAAAAAATGTGAAGGCTTGGTATCGACGATATTTCGATAGCAAGCCGCCAAATATCCCTGCGTTCCGTCGGGGGGACCCTGGTGTGTTTCATTCGAGGTGTCAAGGTTTATAGATAACACATGTCACACTCCTCGGTCTAGCGAACCTGGACGCAAAATTTTTGTAGGAGCGCACCCCGTATACTATTTAATTTCTGTAAACGGCTAACTCAATTCAATAAAAACACTTTATCTAATGCGTTTATCTAATACTAAATTAAAGAATAATTAGTCATAAGTACTAATGTTTATTTGATTTGCAGGTATCTTACAAAACACTTGTTGTAATAAGACCAATGAAAATAAAACCAAAAAAAACACTGAGTTGTGAGTGGGGTGTCTTTTTCACAATAATATAACACGCATTGACTGACTTTGTGTCACATTAGCGTGTCCTACAGCGCGCAAACACACAAATAACTAATCTTTCATTTCACGTACTAGTACGTCGAAATTCATTATTTTTCAATTTTTTTTACTCTACCTCTATTGTTATTTTGAGTGGATGGAAATACATCTTTTTAGGCGCGCCCTGAAGAGATCTCACAAACTTTTTTTTCCCTGTCGTTAGACTATTGTTTTGGATGCCTTCTTGAAGAAACGCATGGCACCATCAACTTACAAGTCGGAAAGGAGTGCTAAATGCAGCGTAGAAATTTGTAATTGAGTTGTACGTAGTTAAAGTTGATGAAAAATAAAGTTTAAAAACAAAAGAGAAATTCATCAGCTTGTTTTTTCTCCTTAACACCAGTACTAAATAATTTAAAGAAGTTAGATTTTTGTTGTGACGGAGTTGCTTTTCTGCAATAAACAATAAATGTTTGACCAACACAATGTCGCTTCATCAGTGTATTTTTTCTGTTAAAGCGATAATAAGTAATTTAACAAGTTTTATTTCAGAAACTTCGGCAGTCATCTTTTTAAACGTTCAATCGAACATCGCCGCCTCGAAGACGTCGTTGTGGGCACGCCCTCTCAAGACCGAGTACCCCAAGCTGATTGTTTGACGTATGCTCTTAAGAAGCTCGTTTTGGAAATACTTCTGGCTGCGTTCTTGAAGAAACGCATGGCGACACTGGTTACGACTGAAAAACGACTCAAGTTCTAAAGATCTTCAAAGGTGACACAGATGTTTATTTCTTTTTTTTTCACTTGTTTTAACTGTTAATAAATCTTTTTGTGTTTCAGATTTAGTGCTTGAAGTGAATTTTGTTCAGCGCCTTCGAGGTAAGGAAGAATGAAGCGGACCATGAGAACACTAAATCTGATTCCGCTGATACAGGCACTTATCCTCAGATCATACTAAACCTTATTCATTAATCCAGACTTAAGTGGGATTCAAACCCACGATCTTTGCGTAGTTACTGATAATCATAATATACCAAAAACTGCAATTTTTAAGACGTACGATTCCAAATTATGGACTGAATATCTGTTTGATGATAGCTGACAAGGAAAGGAAAAGAAGCTGTAATCGGCTTCCAGCTGCATGACAAAGTTGTTGTTTTGATATTATTAATTATGTTTTCAAGAAATATTTCATTTAGGTCAGAGACGTCCAGCAGTGTTAGGGCAGTTCTGAACTCCAGTCTTCAGTGATCTGTAACCTGTAAGTATGAAAACATAGAAAAGTCGTCGCCTTCAAGAGGATAAACTTCTAGCAACA